CCGCGGGAAAGCGCTGTTTTCGCTCCGACGACGGCGCCCCGAGTGTCCTTTTCTGAGCAAATTATCGGAGGAAATGGCGCGTTCAAGTACGTTAAGCAGTTCAAACTTCGGTAAATTTTTCGACGTAAGCGGTAAAGGACATCAGGCACTCGTTTTACAAGATATAGTATAATAGGATAGCATTATTCTGAAACTCACAAAGCGTATGATACTTTTTCCAATACGTAACACATTCTATTTTTTTACTACATTGGTCGTCCGTGATTCTTTCTAGTTTACTCGTAAATAATCCATGTAACGTGCAAATTTTAACGACCTTGCAAAATGAAGATTCCATAGTGACCGAAAGACGGTAAAACGAAAAAGCTCACATCTACCGAAGGTCTATATTGTAACAACTTATAAGAAATACTTCACAGAGAACAAGACCACAAGCTAAAACTTCATTGAGAATTAATAATAATTCGCAGAGGTAACTGCAGGGACTTAATTTTAAAACGATATTTTTCCTACTCTCATCATTTCTATAATCTCCTAAATATTCTACAAACAGGTTAATAAACTTGTGCACAGCCAGCGTGGATTATCGAGGTCGCTAAGGCTAAGGACCGTGGCTGTCGGGGATATAAAGGTCGCGGGTTCAAATCCCGTCCCGGGCTTGAATGTGTGTATGTGCTCGTTGTTCTTATGTGTATCTCTTACAGTTACCCCAATGTCAACAACCGCAGTGGTCATATTATGTTTAAACAGTTAAAAAGTAACTTTAAATTTTTTTTTTTAAAAAAGCTCGCCTTTTTCTCGATTCGCGAGTCTCCGGCCCTCCCTCACTCGCACTTGGCCGAGCGCGGCGCGATGGCAGCTGTCGGTGGAGATTGTGGATTGTTATGCATAGGTTCCAGGCCGCGCGCGAGTGGCAATCAGCTGTCTCGTTATTTACACATCCGCACGCGCGGGGTCGTTGCGCATGCATTGTTTCGATAAGCACACTCACTCTCTCTCTCGCAAATGTGTAATCCACCTCGGCTGTTACAAAGACAAATGTAACAAGAGAGCATTTCTCTTCCCGTCGGACGACTAATTATGTGCAAAGTGTATGTTTCTGGGACGCGATGTTAATTCATTTCGACCAGTACCATTCATGTAATTTAATAGAATTAATGTAAAGAAAATAATTATGAAATGAAGATTAATCCATAAACTTCAATTCTCAATAAAAGACATTTGAGCTATTTTAACACATTATTTGCTGGCTTCAGAAGTACTCACTAAGAGACGCAGTCATATATATTTATTTTAAAATTCTTTAGTTAAGTTATTGACATTATAATTAAGACAAATTCACAGTGACTTATTTTCCTAAAAGGAGTTTTTAAGACACAATTGTGTTTAGGGCAAAATAAATGTTAAAATGATTATATCGTGTGATTTGGAAAGTAACGAAATTTTTAAAAAAGACATCACAAACGTGTTCTCATGTGGTAAAACTTTAATAAAGCGGTATTATTTAGATGACGGAGTGTTGTTATTTTCAGTTTCCTAGAATTTATACGAATTACAGTATACAGTACGTCTATATGACTACCTCTAGAAAAGCTTGCGCGCGGACACTCGGCACCGGATTTACGTCAAAGAGGAGGGAGACGGCTACACTGAATGCTGTCTCAAAACTGCTGCCCACAAAAAATGAAGTTCTCTTGTTTTCTAAAGATACATTTTCATCGTATCCATAGTCTCATATACATTTTAGAATGGTTTGTTTTTAATATTACGTACTACTTTTCAACCGAGCGATGTAGCTCAGTGCGTAGCGCAGACTTCGTAATCAGGAGGTCCGCGTTCGATGCCTGAGGCCAGCCATCCCGACCAATTATTTTTTTTGTGGTTTCCCTCGGTCATAAGGCGAATAGATCAAAAATGTCAAGATCGCCTCCCACCACCCCAGTCCTCTCCCCTTCATCATCACCCTGTCACTTCATTCAGCATTCCCTGCAAAAAGGCAGAGGGCCCTTGCTCTCTCTACAAATGGCAATAATAATAACTATTATTCAACAATATTCCTGTTGCCTAATCCATCCTCCTTTAATGATCCGTCATTTAACAAATTCTCACCAGAATTTATAGGATAGAAGATCAAACTCGTGATTTGAAAGATCTTATGTATACTCAAAACTAGAAGTTAATTCCTTACAAGAGAGCCTGCTATGAAAAGCGGCGCAAAAAAAACAAACAAACAAAACAAGCCAACCCGTAGCCAGCCGTAGCGGCATCCGAAACCGCGCGGAGGCGTGGGCGTGGACCGGCGACCCACATTGCCACTAAGCGCGACCCGCCCAGCGGCGCGGGCGGCGCCAAGCGCCGCGAGGCATCACGACGCGAGCCCGCGTGCGCCCCGCAGACACAGTAACACGACGAGGCCGCGCTCACGACGCAGCGCTTTCCGCTTCGTGCTGCTGCCGCCCCGTGGCGCCACCGGGCGGTCCCACACGTCGCGCGGTCGTCGTTTCTAATGCTCTCGACGCCACAACCGTTCTCATCGTCATCACAGTCAAACACCATCACGTCATAGACGCCATAGTCACCATCCCCACCATCACCATTGTTTTCAAAACCACTCATCAAATTCATCGTCTTCACAGGTCTTCAACGTTGTCGACCTCATCACAATCAACAACGTTGTCGACCTCATCACAATCAACAACGTTGTCGACCTCGTCACAATCAACAACGTCGTCGGCACCACAATCCACAACATCGTCAACATCACAATCCACAACGGCATCTCCACCAGTCATAATCATCGTCGTTCTCGTCCACACCAATCGTCATAACTAATGTCGTCCACACCACTCAGCATAACCGTCGTCAACCTGGCCAAAGTCATCAAAAAAGTCGTTGTCCTCACGATTGTCCTCACAAACGTCACCGTCGTTCTCACCACGGGCATCATAAACGTCGTCACCAGCGTTTTTCTCGTTCTTCACGATTCCGTTCTCGCCATCTTCTTGACTGTCATTTTCCTCGTCATTATCGTAGTTACCGTTGTCATTCAAGATCTAGAATTTGCCGTCACCATCGTCGTCGACGCCGTCGTGGTCGCTGCCGCTTGGTGCTTGTGTAAAGGGGAGAGATTTTATTGAAGAAGCCGCTGAATTGCAGGTTCTCTGTTTCTCGGAAAAAGGGAGAAAGTGAGCCTCCAGGTGTAACCTACTCGCTTTTGTGAGTTGAATAGCAATAGCAACCTGTATTTATGACAAACGTAACAATGTAATTTTATAAAATACACGATTCCACGTTCTGAAAGATTGTTAATTTATTGTAAAGAAGTGACTATCGGAATATTTATCGCCCTTTTTTATCACTGTATCTATGACGAATTTCATAAGTAACCGTTTTTCTGCATTCTATTTATATCCTGAAGTGAAATTTAAAGAAATCCGAAACGTGCACGTACATTCCCATTTTAAACAATTTTCAACAATATGAATTAATTTACAATAAGTTGGCAATAAAAAGCTGAAAATTTTAATTCTTAATGGATACATTATCCAAAGTGATCTCTAATCATTATTTTAATTATTTCAAAAATGTCTCAAAATAGTTACGTATTTCAAACTGCAGAGATCCAGCACTGCACTACGTTTTGATCATCACACATGTACAGAGCAAGGGGGTGTACCGGAGTCATCGTTTTTACGCCTAATACATGTACACTGCAGGAGTAAACAGCATATGATCACAGACATTGATCGCTAATGCCTAAGTACAGTTTGACAAAGCACGCTCGGGACAATATTTCCGTAGGATTAAAGCTGTTCATATTTGCGATAGCTCGTATACGATCTCTTTATAGTCAACAGATGCACGTTCACTGCGCATCAAGTTCTGTCATCTGTGAGGACAATCCGATATTCTCTGCGACTGCACATTCCCTACACGTAATAGAATTCTACATACAGACTGAATTGGAACGGTAGAGCGGAAATTTACATTTTGAAATTCTATGCACGACGTGACCACTTTTCTATGGAAACGTGACATTCTGGTTTTATTTTCTCCGTCAATTCAATGATTTAAGCTTCATTTTGTCCTCAGCAAATATCAAAAACGTTTTCCGCTTACCAGTTTAACAGAAGCGAGTTATCGCGGATTGAACGAAGCCTTGTAGATTATATTTAAAGCAGTCCTCAATTGCATTAGAAATACGAGACAAAAATAATATTATTTGGAAATAAATCTGTCTTGGCACAGTTTATCTGCCTCATTCGCAGTATAATAGGTATTCAGTAAATAGGAAATCTGACCCACCACTAAATTCCGAACTAAAGACTATTTTGCGGCATTATAATACAATTTAATTTTAGAGATGAATAGGGACCTGATTTTAATGCAAATAGAGATTTCACTCTGTGGTCAGAAAATATCTAAGAAAATATGTATATGTATGTTCATAAAACATCTAATTTCCAATTATTAAAAAACGGTTGTATCATGTATATCTTCCAAATTTTACCTGTTCTTCTTAATATGCATCATTTTTCTGCAAATTACAAATTCATCTACATATTTTATCATTACTTACTTATTATTACTATATTAATTTATAGCTTTAATTTTTAAATGCTGTAATGAAAGTTTTTTAATACGTAGTTCATTGTATAATCAATTTCCTGTATCTAATTGATGCATAATTTTTAACACAAAAATTACAATCCTTTTAAATATTACGTTGCGTTGAGTCAAGCTTGAAAATCGGTAACGCTGATGAACACACGTGACTTTGGCTCCCTCTAGTTACACAGTTTTGAGCATCCGCTACAAATCTGAGTGAAACTAGATGCAAAAATTAAAACGTACCTTTTCATGATATGAAGGTGCCGCTAAGAGATCCTCTGAATTGTTTTCAAACTTGGTTCTATAGCTAATTGTTAAATTTATTTATCGGCAGACGTTCCATTGCGAAAACTCTGCTGCTTTTCGAAATTTCATTGAGCAGTGTATTAAGAGTAAAGTGCCGGATGACAACCATGCGTAAAATTATGAGAAATAATGTTACGATGAATTAGTATACTTTATTATTAGGGCATATTATTATTACACATTACTATTACACATTACTATTACACATTATTATTAGGGCATAGTATCATTATAACATTATTAGGGCATGTTTTTAAATTTTTTTCTGCATAAATGCATACATACATGATAGATTATTAGTGCATAAAAAAAGTCCATAGTGATAAAGTATATTCTACATCAATGATATGCTTTTAACACAACTTTAAGCAAGCTACTTTTAAGAGCAACTCACTTTTTTCCGGTGCTCAGTCATGTACGTGGAATTCATTCATTTCACTCACCTGAAAACAAAAAAGACACAAAGTCAGATTTTCGAAATCAATAATCACGTAAAGGGAATTACCACTAGTCATGTCATGACAAATATGCAAAAGTCTCTCAAACATATTGCACTAGAAGGAAACTGTTATTGAACCAAGCTGGTTGTCGACGTCAAGGGATGAAAATTAGCCCATCCATTAAAGTCCAACAGCGCATCGAATACGCAGACTACGTAATGAATGTCGCTTGTGCTACTGCTACCGGTACTGGTCTTTGGCAGCACCCAACAAATCCCATCATTACGACAATAACATCTGTCCTACATCACCGCCACTTACCATCATTTACTCCTTTTCCATCACATTTATTGTATTTAAAACCAATAATAATGGCTAGAATTGCTGTTGAGACCGGAGCTTTCCTTTCATAAGGCACAAAAACTACTAGCTTATGGAATTACCAGTCAGTCGATACCTTGGACAGCTGAAGCTTGGATATAGGTTTCCAGTATTGACATTTAGAAAACATCGCATTTATACGCTGTAATTATCAATTATTTTTCACGGTGATTCAACAAACTTACACAAGCCAGACACACTAAAATTTTTCGGGAGATTACAATTACTAGCGTAATCACTTTATCCAAAACAATATCTGATGAGACACGAAGTATCTCATTCGAAAAATAAAACGGACCTTGTTTTGAACTTTCTTTGAATTGCTTTCCGATATTCTATTATCGTGTTTGTGAAGGATCGTTTCCGTTTATCTGCGCATGAGGAACCTCCGGCATGGTACGGCACGGCAGGCTCAGCTGTCCTTCATTGTCGCCCTCGTCTGAGCCGCCGCTGAGGGCCTGCGACGCAGACGCGGTGCGCGGTGCCCGGTGCCGACAGCGACGCGTCGCCCGGGCGGTGTCGCTCTGAATAAACCAGCTGGGACGCGCCTGTAATCGCGAAAGGGCGAACGGAAGGTGGTAAGGCGGGGCGGGTTTGGGCGGGAACCGGGGCGGGCGGGGTGGGAGGGCGTGTGGCGGGGTACGGCATGGAGGGGAGGGACGCGAGAGGCGGGGCAGGGCAGAGGGGGGCGGGGGCGGGGCAGGGGCGGGGGGGGGGCAGAGAGGGAGCGGGGGGCGGAGGCGGGCAGGAAAGCGAAGGGTGGGGCGGGGGACGTCAGGCGCTTCGGCGTGCATGGGCGAGGAGGCGGACCCCCGCTATCATGGCGCAGGCAGCGAGGGCCTTCAAGCTGCTTCCGCGGGGGCTCGGCACAGCGGTCAGACGGGAGCTGCTTGCGGAGGAGCACGGCTCGCAGGGGAGCGAGACGTACCTGCTGCACAGAGGAAAATCGGGAAGTAAAAACGTCATGAAGTATGAGCCTGCCTATATATAAACTTTCTAAGAATAAAATTGTATATAGGCATAGGGCGAGGAAGAACAACGTACCGTTTGTGAAGGAGAGCACGTTAAGACATGAAGAGACCAAAGAACTGTTTGAGGAGAGGAGACAGTGACTGGAAATAAAGGCAGAGACATCGAGTGAAGTAAATGAAACGTTTCCATGGCCAAAAATATTTATTTTGCGCACCTAAATATGATGAGCGAAAGTGCGAAACGTCCGCTGGACAGTGAGAAAGAGAATACAAGGAGAAGAATAAGAAAGGTAAAATATATATAAAGAGAAGTTGCCATAATTTTATGGCTAATAAGGACGCGAACAAAGCCACGGACGTATGAGAGCATGATAACCGAGATGAGAGGAACGGACGAGAAGCGCACAGAGAAAGTGACGCGTAAGTCGAGACAAGACGGAGACGGCGTGAGCGCTAGAGGATCCTAACGAGGCGCAGCACTGTTTCACGACGAGGGTCCCGAGCGGCGAGCGCACGCGGCTAGAGCGGCCGCAATAGCGGGGGGGAGGAGGGCGGCGCGGGCGGGCACGCGGCGTCGCCGTGCGCGCACGTGACAGATTGATGGCGCGGTAATAAGTCCGAGGCGCCTGAGAATCCCGCCGGGGGCATTACAAAGACCTCAGCGGGCCGCCTGCCGCCGCGTCCCCAGCCCGCCCCGCGCAGGGCTACGTCGCCAGGCGCGCGCTGCACGCGCGCGCCACTACTCGCGCTCTCTTGCGCGCGCAGTCACGGCTGCCGCCCCCGCCCCGGCCCCCGCCGCCGCGCCACTATCGTTATTGCCTCCGCTCCAGACGCTCCGTAAAAAAAAGCGCCTGCAATACACGACCACTAGTCAGCGTAAAGGCAGATGTGCGACTAATGGAATTCAAAATAATCTTGCCAAGTAAGCGTCCATTACACGGAATGCATCGCAATCTTTTTATATTCAGTTACTGGTACATCAATTGCATGTTTAGGTTTGAAAGTCATTACAAGAATAAGGAGTCTTGCAGCAGGCCAAGCAACCGATTACTGTGTTCATATGAATCATCCACATCCACAAATAAGTAACAGGAAAAAGTGCTTAAGAGAAGGGAAAAAAGGGTTAATTACAAGAACAGCAGGAATGAATCAGGTTGATAGAAGTACGATGAAGAAATCTGAGATCGAATAACACAAAAGAGAACCGAAGGAATAATGTGAGAATTTAGAAAGGCGGAGAATAACTGGATGCGAAAGAAGAAAACGCAATGGAAACTAAACAGGGGCGTAACGTGCGCACACTTGGCATATGAGTGAAACCAATATAATCGCTAAAGAGAACGTAATTTTTATGGAAAATAATCAGTTTCTCAACCGAAGTTCAGAAAAAACACGTGCGTCCTAAGGCACGCTATTCTTGCAACGTCGGCCGCGCGTCGCCCTACCTCCGGCTACGAACGCTCCACGCGCCGTCCCACCCGTGTCGCGTATCGCTCACGCATGCGCACTGCGCCGCCGCCACCGCCGCTCGCCTTCCGGCGTTTCTTTTTCTTTCCGCGCGACACTTCCCCTTCCGCACTTGCGGGGCGAGATGAGAGCTATACAGGCGCCGGTCCGGGCCCCGTCGCGCCGCGGGGGAGGAGGGAAAGCAGGGAGCGCTGCCACTTTGACGGAGCTGCACTTATCGTGAATGCGCGCGTTAACAACTCGCGCCTTCTCCCGCAGAGCGCGTAGTCAGGATTCGGTTTTTATTGCGGGAAGGGCCGCAGCTAGGGAAGGGGACCGCAGGCGGCACATGTACCAAGAATAACAGCGTGTATTAATTTTTTTAAAGCTTCGCTCCGAAGAGGTGCCTCCTCGCAAAAAAACGTTCTTCATTCTCGGAGAACGTCGACTCTTCGAATGGCATTCAGAGGAAAGAATTTAAAAGAAAGTAAATTGAATGGAAATTGCTCCCATTTCCTGCTTTAAGGTTCGGAGCACTCAGACGTCCCCTTGTCGTAAGAACCATGGGTGATGGCTGTTAGATTTCCTGAATAAAAGACACCGTAAATCCCTGAAAGGTCGTCGTGAGCTTACTTTATAATAGATAACTAGTTATGGGAACTAAAAAAACGCGACCTCTTATTAAAACTGTTGGCTTCGAACCTCCCAGACTCGCAGACTGCTTTGGTTTCACGATGGATCTAGTAAAAACACGTGTTAAAAGAAACACTTGAAAATGTCAAAAATGAAAGGAATGCCTTAGGAAAAATAAAATGAACTACCTACTTAAAGAATAATTTGAAGATGCTATTGATATTCAACAAAGCCTTAGGGTTCTTGCGAACGCAGAAAATGTGCTAGTTTCATTTGAAGGTCTTCAGTGACAAAATGCAATCTTATTATTTTTGGAGGATTCATTGTTAGTGGTTACGGACGTGTCAATTGTTCACGTCATGAGCCCCGAAAGTGAAGTATGTATTGCGGCGAGAGGTGGCGGTGATCTTCCCTCGCTGGATGGTAAGATCCGGCGGCGACCTAACCGTCCACTCACAGGGATTTTCCCAACGAGGTTTCTCCCTGAAGCGGGGTACCGTCCCAGCCGGTACAAACTCTTAGCTCCCGGCCGACATGTGGTAGTGTAGTGTATGTGAGTGTGTATGTAAGCATTGGACAAGAACGAGGAAGGGAAGATCGCGTTTGGTCCATGGCCCGTTTGTTATGGTACTGCTCCGGCATTCGCCTGATTTTGATCGGAGAAACCACGTAAAACTACCGATCAGAGCAGCCGAACTCTAGAATTCTCCTCCAGGCAGCAACTAAACTCGACTTAACTGATAAGCTAGTGCCGAAAATCCTGCCACACCGCCGGGATTTGAATCCTAGGACCTCCTTACCAGAGATTCTACAGTGACATCAATTGATGCCCTGAGTCTCCGAAGAAGGTCTATTTTTGGAGGAAGACGGAACATGACCATGGGCTCTTTCACCCCCCCCCTCCCGTACCTTTCGAACCGGGCGGTCCGCGAAGTCTCTTGTATCGCCCTGGGGGAGGGGGCTACACGGAACGGGGCGGGGAGTGCGGGCGGCGGCGTGGGCCAGTAACGCGAGCGCCGACCGCGATAGCGCCGAACGCATAAATCTCGTCGGGGAAGGAAAAATCAATCCGCAGCACTTATGGGAGGAAAGAGCTGGCTGGCCAGCAGGCAGGGCCACCACGTATTGAGCGTCGTACAGAAACCCTTGCGCGAGGGCTGCCGTCATCGCCAGCAATCGCCGCTGCCGGGCGACGCGCGGTCGCCGCCGCTAGCAGACTCCAAAGCAGTTATACTCGCACACACAAATATGCAACATCGCTGCGTACGTGGGAGGACGATAGGCCGACATCTTCGATTAAATGTGCGCCTCGTCCACCTATTTTTTAACAAACAACTTAAAAGACTGTCGGCAAGTTCGTCACTCGTTCGGCAAGCTCGTTCTTCCTTCGGCAAGCTCGTTCTTCATTCGGCAAGCTCGTTTCTCGTTAGTAGCCTAGCCAACGAGTTTCGATTGGTAATTCATATAAAATACAAAAACAGTTGGCTCGCAAGAACAGTAATATTAAAGGAGGAAATTCAAAACGATCCTTCTATTGGACTTTTAAAAGGCATACGACGTTGCCAGTGGATA